TCATGTGTATGATGTTGGCTGAAATACCCCACAGGATGTATATTGACTAAAACTTACCCCATCTAGTGATCATGGTCAGTAAACTTCCACAAACAGCTTTTTGGGAGATAAAATAACAAATAAGTTGGCTTTGCCACTCACTTTCTGTATTTGCAAGAATCTGAAGTATGGCAACTGAATGAAGTCTCCTATACTTTAAGCAAATGAATGTTTCTCCCAGTAAATCACTGTAAAAATAGATTTACATGACATAAATTTTAAATTAATTTCTTATGGTGAAATGGACAGACAATAGTGAAAATAAGTGCCTCTGGAGAATGAAATTTTATTATTGAAATAAAAAATAACTTTCCAATGTACTTTCACATGACTAATAATTATCTTGAGTCTATGCCTATATAATCAAAGGGAAATTGAGTGCCAAATGATGAACTGGGTCATTTGTTTAAAGTAGCTTCTGTTGAAGAAAATACTTGAATAAAGGTAATCATTATTGAGATTGAGTGCTTGCTGTGGTCATAACTCATCTGCCTATTTGTTGGTCCATAAATTCTAATTTGAATAATGAATTTTCATCTTATTTCAAAGTAATGCAATTTCTTTTTACTTTTTTCATTGCATTAAAACTTATTACTGGAAATATGAAACGGTGCACATGTTATATGACAAAACAGAGTAGTTACAGAAAATAAAAGTTATAACTCCGATTTATGCGTTACCATGGTAACAGTGCATGATCTCAGTGTTCCATGGGTCCATTTGTCTGACAGTATGAAATGAGTCAGGGTTTGTATAGGATACTGGTTCAATTAGTGGGTTTTTAATGCATTTTTTAAAACTTTATTATAGAGAAATTTGAACTTAGACAAAAATAAAATATCATCTTCCAGCTTAATCAGCTCATATACAACTCTGCTGGATACACACCCTTAACTACTGTGCCCTGCCCTGTATTAAGATAAAGAAAATCTAAAACAGTTAGAGATTTTAAGGACTACAGCAAATCTGAACTGGCACAGACGTCATCGTATTTCCTCCATTCTATAGCCAGGAGATTACCAGTAGCCACACAGGAGAGCATCTTATTGATCATGGATTAAACCATTTCCTAATTAACTTTTAGTAAAGATGTTATCTTGACACTTATTTCAAACAGAGTGTAATGAACATATAGTGGTAGAAGTGTAATGGCTATTATCATGGTACAGAGGAACCTTTGAACCTAGTAAGAGTACCTAATTCATGTACTTGTTTTGAGTACATAATGAAATAAATGCTTACAACATACTTAAGCACAATGTAGTTCATTCTAAGGCTTCCTAAACGTTAACTTTACTACTTGTTACTACATTTACTATTTGTGAACATTCTTATCAAAAGAGCCCAAAGGGGGCCTCCCTGGTGGGGCAAGGAGTTAAGACGCAACCAATGAACCTGTCCACAGCCTCTGCAGCACGAGTTTGATCCCCAGACAGGGAGCTACCCACATGGCGCAGCAGACCGCTCCTGTCTCGCCTGCTGCTCCCCTCGCCAGTGTTTTTAAGTCAGTCTGCCTATTCTGTTCCCCACTCTGTCTCTGGTGAATCCTCTCACCCCACTCACACCTCTGGCCTGTACCTCAATTCTTGTGTGTATAAATAAAAAAAAAAAGAGATCAAAGGTTTCCTCGAGGGAAAAGGAGAGTAAAGTTTCCTGAGACACTAAAGCAAATGATGATTATCACAGAGCCCTATCACTTGATGCTCAAGTATTAATATTTCCATATATATATTGTCTTGTTTAATCCTCACAATCAAGTTTTGCTGTAGAGAACATTGCCATGTGTTTACAGAGAACGCTAGGATCAGTTACACGTTCCTTGCATTCACATAGCTTCTGGGTGGCAGAGCTGTGAGGCCCACTTGCAGGTTTGTTTGAATTCTCTTTCTACCACTCGATATGATTTTCACATACATGCTGGGTCCATAGAATTCATGTTTACATCCTGAATAAACCGAGGTAAGTCATTGTCAACTGAATGAACACAGGGGAAAAGATCATAGATGTTTGTCATGGTCTGAAGTGCATACTACTGAGGTATCTGTAAATTGGGAAATTTTTTTTTTTAAAGATTTATTTATTTATGCATACAAGAGCTGGGATACAGGCCAGAGGTGTGGGGGGTGAGAGGATTCACCAGAGACAGAGTGGGGAACAGAACAGGCAGATCTACTGTAATACACTGCTGAGGGGAGCAGCGGGAGAGACAGGAGAGGTCTGCCTCACCAAGTGGATTGATCCCTGGCCAGCCGGGGATCTAACTTGTGCTGCAGAGGCTGCAGATTGCTTCATAGTGCGGTGCTTAATCCCTTGCACCCCCAGGGAGGCCCGGGAAATTTGGTTTTCGGAAGCTCTCCCTCTGTACTCTCCTTTCTCTCTTGTTAACTCCCAGAGTGTAGAACATGTATAATTACCATTCTTCCCTATCTGTGCAAGTCAGACATTGAAAAATTGCTTAAGTCCAACCTCCTCATCAAGCAGCTCAGTCATCTATTGTGCAAAGTAGTTAGTCTCTCCTTGGCTTCGTTGATAAAAAGGTTGGATCAATCCTCACTCCTCACCTAAACATATTTTATTTCAAAGTAAGCCTCATTGATCAAGGTCACACTGTGGAGGGGTGATGATACTGTGGAGCACTGATGTGTTGATGAAGATGGGAACTTCTGTTGCTTCCTTTCTGCAGCCTATAACAAGAAACTTGTCTGCCATTCTTTCTCTTTTGTGAGTATAGTAACCAGAACCAGAAGAACAAAGAGCAGTCTCAAAAATGTACTTCAATAGTATTATCAATATAACTTTCCTCTGCTATTTTACAAAGCAGATCAAGATACCACATCTGTCTCTCTCTCTCTCTCTGTCTCTCTGTTGTGAAATTATTAAATGTCATACTTTTTGGATAATCTCAAATACACACCTTTCTAGTTGACTATTACTCGGATTTCAAGGTGGATCAGAACTGCCTTCCCTGAAGGCTTCCAGAGCTTAGATTTTTATTTTCACCTCTGATTTTCAATTCTCTGGTCATACATCATATGTTTTTTGCAAATATTTTCTTTTCTTTTTCTATTTTCCATTTCCCTAAGCTAAATTTATGTCTAAATATTAATTTTTGGGTTGGTTATTTTCTTTCTTTTTAGTACCTTCTTCTTATATCCTATCCAGTAAATATCTTCGAATGCAGGCATAAAGTCTCAAATATTGTCTAGTCTTAAAAGTAGATTATAAAAACCTTATTGATTTAAATTGCATTTTAATCTCTTTCAGTAAGTAATTCCTGATGTTGGCGAAAATTTCCCACCTCTCTTTGCCTCAGTTTCTTTCCCCATGAAAGTAGCTAGTAAGAGTACCTAATTCATGTACTTGTTTTGAGTACATAATGAAATAAATGCTTACAACATACTTATGCACAATGCAGTTCATTCTAAGGCTTCCTAAACGTTAGCTTTACTACTTGTTACTAGGTTATTCTTGTAAACTCATCTGTATGTATAAGTGTTTCCTCTCTGTCACACATCATCCCTAGATTTGTAGTCTTATATTAAGGGGAAAACTAGAATTTAAAAAAATATTGTTTTAATTTCTTGTCCAGTTATATACATATGTGTGTGTATAAATACATATATGTATTTTCAGTGGTTTTAGAATCTATTTACAATGGTTCAGTAGTTTTGGTAGCTATGAACTAGAATATTAAAAAAAAAAAAATTCCAAACTGAATTCTTTAGGTTTTATCATGAATCCCAATTTATGACCTCTATCTCCTACGCAAATGGTTACTTGATTTTATACTTACTGAATTATCACTAAAAATGTCAAGTTAATGTTAAAATTTGAAAAAAGTAAATATTAACATATTTATATATTTTATGAAGTGCTAAGATATGTTGACATTTTAAGGTTTGTGAAAAAATGGAATATGTTATGACCATTATCAGAAAAGTTGAGAGTATTTCATCTACATTTTGTTTATCTTAAACAATTTTATGAATCCATGTCACTTCATAATTTTAAATATTAACACAGAATGAATTGACATAGTTCCCTAAAATAGTTTGAATAGTTTCCTTGATCTCTCATTTCTATTTTCCTTTTTGGGGGTGTTTTATTTATGTGGTTAGGCGGAAATCCAAGGGTAGTTAAGCAGAACTATTTAGTTCTACTTGAGTCAAATTTCAATTGCAACTCTATGAATAAGATTCTTAGATCCAAGTAATCCCCAATATCTAGCTCTTGTTTTGTAGATTTTCCAAGAGAGTTCAGTAACATAGAAAACTGCAAAATAAATATCATGAATCCAAGACACAGACCTAGCATGATACCTGCCATTTTAAAATATTTAAGCATATTTTCTTTTTTTTTTTTTTTTTTTTACTCAAAGAGAGTATTTACTCTAAAGCTATTTAACCACTTATACTAGTACTGGTATTAGAAAGCTCAGTATGAGGTACCTAAAAGAGTAATTTAAGCATTAATTAAGAATTGACAGGTGGGCCTCCCTCGTGGTGCAAGGGGTTAAACACCGCAATGTGAAGCAATTCGAAGCCTCTGCAGCATGAGTTTGATTCCCGGCCAGCCAGGGAGAAACCCACATGGTGCAGCAGACCTCTCCTTTCTCACCAACTGCTCCCCTCAGCAGTGCACTTCGGTCAATCTGCCTGTTCTGTTCCCCGCTATGTCTCTGGTGAATCTTCTCACCCCCCTGCATCTCTGGCCTGTACCCCAGCTCTTGTATGCATAAATAAATAAATCTTTAAAAAAAAAAAGAACTGACAGGTAAAAATAATTAATGTCATATCTATCCAAATATAAAGTTGCCAGACAAATCTTAAGAGCCATATATAGACATTTGAAATGTACATTTAAATATTTGAATATATTTGACTTAATGCCTCCCTTGCTTCAGTTTTATTTTCTTTATTTTAGCATCAATTAAAAAGGAGATTTATCTGTGATTTCTCTAGATACTTCATTGACTACAGTGCGGAAGATGACAGATTTTTCAACATTGATGTCAATACTGGAACCATTAAGACCACAAAGGTTCTTGATAGAGAAGAAACTCCCTGGTATAACATCACAGTCACTGCTTCAGAAAATGGTGAATACTTTATATTATGAATTAGGGGGAAATATGTTACTTGTACATGAAGGTTTATGTTCATCAGCCTCAGATTTTCTTGGGAGTAGTGCTCTCACTGTTTTATGTTGGATGCCTGGATCTAGCAGAGTAAATAAAGCAGATTAGATAAAAGTACTTAGTTTCAAGTGCAGTGAATAAAACTTATCTCTTTGCCTTTACTTTAATCCCAGCACAGGGCAGGAACTTTGTCATCACCACACACTTTGTCCTCATCCCTTACGTGTTTCATTCAAATTTCTAATGGTGAGACCTGCTGGGTGTGTATGTCTTACATAATCATGAAGTGAGAAGGTTGCTTCATATGTTTGTGTTAGAAAAGGGAAGAAATGAAAAATTAACATTGTACTTCAATAGTATTATCAATATAACTTTGCAAGCTTCCATTAAAATATAAGCTTACATTAAGTTTAGTAAACTTACAGAGAAAGAGTAACTCTTGGAATTTCAACAGGGAAGTCTTAAGTTTTCTTCATGAGAATTCTGTGCTGGATCACTGAGGAAGAGTCTTGTTACCTCCTCATTCAGATTATTGCAGCATTATGATAACCTTAGATTCAGAAAACAATGCAAGCATAAATATCAATAATTATCTCTGTTTAAAGATTGTATGACTATGTTCAAATGAAATTAGAGCAAAACTGTGAGTACACAGATCATGAAAATAAAGTCTTTTTGAAAGATTTGATAAGATCAAAGGTACCAATTGCCCCATGTTTAGAATTGTACTTAGAAATTGTGTATAATTTATGGAGGATATCAGTGTATTTATGAGAGAACCATAAATACATGGGAAATTGAAAATATGTTACATTAGAAAGTAATATTGTGTATAATGAAATTGGACTCTTTTTTTTGCACTCAGAGAATAAGACATTAAATTTTTTTTAGATATGACACCATACAATTTTAATTTCGGTTTTTAGATATAACTCACATACCATAAAATTCACCTTTTTAAACTGTACAGTTTCAATGGCATATCCAGAGTCATGCATCTATCTCCATAATCAGTTTTAGAACATTTTCATTATCCTACAAAGAATCCTGCATCCCTGAGTGCCAGTCCCCTCTCTCCATGCCCCAGTGCAGGAAACCATTATTCTAGCTGCCGTTTCCATGAATGTCTTCAGGCTTCCAAAACAAAATATCACTCAAGTTGGTTCCTTAACATTTATTTCTTATATTTTGAAGACTGGGAAGATCAAACAGTCAGAGTTTAGATGCTTAGTCTATAGCATCTGTCTTACAGAGTGTCCTTATGTGGCAGAGGGTGCAAGGAACATCTCTGAGCTCACATCTATCTGAGCACTAATATTCATGAAAGCTCTACCCTCACATCCTAGTCAGCACCCTGAGAATCCACTTTCTATTAACATCACATTAGGAATTAAGGTTCAACATATGAGTGAGGGAGGAGGCTTAGGTGCTCCTGGAGCAATAGGTTTGCCTAGTATTGTCATTTGCTATAAAACAATCATACAATACATGTTTCTTTGTGACTGACATATTTTAGTTAGCTTATTTTCAAAGTCCATCCACATTGTAACTTGTATCATTCCTTGATCTTTGTGCTAAAAAAATTCCATTTCCAGACTATACACACTTTATTTAGCCATTCATCATTTAGTAAGTATTTGAATGGTTTCCACATTTTGCCTAATATGAATATGAATAATATTGCTGGGAACACTAATTTAAAAACTTGTGGACATGTTTCTTTTGGGTATATACCTACAAGTGAGATTATTTGGTCATATGGTAACTCAATATTTCATCACTTGGTAAGCAAACATACTATTTACCAATGTGGCTATGGACAGTTTACATTCCTAACAGCAGTACAGGAGGGTTCTGATTTTGCTATATTGTTACAAATATTTATTATCTGTCTCTTTGACTGTAATCATCAGGGTGAGTTTGGGGTAACATAACTGTGTGTTTAGGGCAATAACTTTGTGGTATATGCTTTTATAATATTCTTTGTTACAAATCAGTAGATTATTCTTGTCTTTTCCATTCTACCTAAATTTTTCACAGTTTTGCACCTGCAAAATCAGCTCCAGTGATTTCCATTTAGATTACTTTTTCAACATAATATTCTCTTAGAAAATAGAGTTTACTAATTACTTTTTTATGATTTTTTAAAATTATTTTTATTGAGATAACATTAGTTTATAATACCTCTTCAGGTATATGTTATCACACCATGTTTAAATGAGTATTATAAACAATACATAGATGGGTTCATTTGTGATCATTCTGGTTAATTTTTATTTTCAAAGTAACTGGATTGGGTATAGATTCATGTGTTCTCAAGTCAGTCAAAGAAAATTAAAATGATATCAAATAATAAAGACTCATTTAAAATTTGTTGAAGACTTAAGGTCTGAAAGGATTAACTTATACAAGAAGAAATAATGAGAACATTGAAAAGATTCAGAAAAGATTAGGCAGTTCTTCTTGGGAAGAATTTTCATGTATAGAAGATGAAAGGGTACAGCTCATGGAGAAAATATCTGTTTATCAGGCACAATAGTGATTTATTTTAAAATAAATTCATGTTCAACTCTAGAAGTAACACTTTCATAGACCAAAGTTTAGATTGCTTCTAAATTTCATCTCAGCCTAAATAATATATATATCAAGTAGAAACTGAGACTGCGCTATGAACAGAAATGACTTTATGTGTATCATGAAATTTATATTATTGACAATCATTACCAAAAGAAATGCACATTTTTACTAACATAAAACCTTAAATATATGCCTACTTTTTTTTTTCACTCTTTGCTAATACCACCTGTGGGGAATGAGTTAATACGTATCTACTAAGTAAAACAGTACAACATCTTGAATTTTATCGATGGTAATAAAAAAGCCTAAGGGACACCTCAGATAGCATTGCTAAAATATAATTTAATCCTAATCATAAACAAGTATGTATAAAGAATAAACACTACTTAAGAATTTATAGTCATTTGGGAGGCTATGTTCAGGGAAGCACACATTCAGCGCTAATTGTTTGGCCAAAGGGCCCAGTTAAATATCATTGGGAGCTCCGCCATGTAATTTGTTGGTAGGCCTTAGCCTCAACATCAGTCCTGTTATCAAAATATTTCCTAATAGGGCCTCCCCTGGTGGTGCAGCGGTTGAGCACTGGGCTGCGAAGAATCTTCTATTTTAGGGGTATACATGTGAGGTCTCCATTGCCTACCTGATTTTCACCTGGAGGGAGGTGGCAATATCTTCCCAGGGGCTGCCTACATTCCCTCTCACCAAGCCCACATCTTCAAGCAAGCAAGTATTTCAAGTCCTCTTGCTTTGAATCTCTGACTTCCTCTTTCACTGCCAGCTGGAGAAAGGCTCTATCTCAAAGGTTTCTTCTGATCAAATCATAACCGCTCAGACTATCATTGTATTTCAGGTCAACTGACTTGACACTTCAGTTGCCTCAAAAAGACCTTTCACGACAGTACCTGCTTGAGTTTTAGGCTGAATAATCAAGGGCTGGGGATCTTGTGTTGCCTTTCTAGAACTCTGCCTGTTATGACGCTAAGCATCTGTAAATTTGGGGACTTATTCTTTTACTATAAATATTTTTCAAGCTTATACGCTACGTCTTACTTTCCTTTTATATGACACCCTACTAAAATAGGCCTTTAATAAAGACCTCTTACTGTATTTTTTCTTAAGTGAATAGCTCCCATCTACTTCTAATTACTTATTAATCCCTCAGTTCAAGAATTTGTATACTTTTTTACCCACCACTCTTTAGAATCTGCCTTTATGATTATCACTTTCTAACAACTAAGTGAAACAAATTGTTTTCATTTATCTCCCCGATTTCTTTGTGATATTTGACTATATTATTCAAGATCTTTCTTCTTTGAATTTTCTGCTTTCTTAGTTACCATTTCAATACTGTGGTGTGGCATATTTTATCATCTCTACCCTAAAGTATACATTAATTAACCCACTCAGACTATATTAATAAACAATATTTGCTAGGCACTAAAGATATGGAGTATATTATTTTACCCTTCAGGAATTTAAGAGTGCAATGCAGAAGACAAGAAAAGCAGATAATTGCATTATGAATAATTAATACAGCAATAAAGTTTTTAGAGGAATAGAGAATAGTGAAACCAGGGTAGTACAATTTCTCTAACAAAAGCAGGTTTCATAGAGCGGTAGGTAGTATGTAAATTCAGTCTTGATGTGAAGGATAAATAAGGTTGACCTACGTTGTGTTTCTAATTGAACCTGTGTTAGTAAAGGTTCTAAAACTGAGTTTCTACGTGGTTAGAAAACAAAGTCATTAAAGAGATTTGTTACAAGGAATTGGCTCATGCACTTATGGAGATTTGACAAGTCCAAAATCTTCTGATCACTTGACCTTGCTGCAGGTCATGGGTAAAGTCTAAAGGCCACAACTAAGAATAACTAATATCTTGGATCAAAACTATCAATCAAGCTAGTTCTCTCTTATTTGACACTACCATCTGATGGAAAATAATCTTTACTCAACTACTAATTTAAATGTTAATTTATCCAAAACACCATGATGCTTGACCAAATATCTGGCACTCTATCAATTACAAATTGGCTGTAGCACAGTATTCTGGTTTTTATCTGCCCTCTAGGTGATCACACATGTGCTAAAGCTTGAGAATCACTAACTGACGTGACTCTGTGCAAATCAACTTTAGGAAACATCGTTTCCAATCATAGTTGGACTGTGTCCTAGTTCTATTTGGTGTGAATCCCAAAAAAGAACATGTGTATGTGCACACTTATGCATGTGTCCTCACCTGTCTTGATTGCCTCAGAAATAAACTCCACATAGAACATACGTGGTTTTTCTTTGAAAGAAGTGGACCTCTCTGTTCTCACTTGAACCATCCAAAAATTGTATATCACACTTTTAGCCACAGATGCTCAAACAACAGATTATGTTC